CCCCCCCCCCCGAATAATATGCTGTTTTCATTACTGCTGCGAATAATGCAACAGACTGTAGTTTGTCGATGTAAAGAACTCCCCTAGCCTTTCGTCTGCAGTAGTGTCGGTGACTACGGATACGAGGTTTAACTATTTCCGGTAGGGGTGTTGTTGGTTCATTATTTTAGACAGGTTTTAATTCGGGTCGGGCGAGAGGAAGGGAATCGGGGGGGGGGAAGAAGCTCCCCTCTTTGAAATGCGCCCTTGTATCCATAGCAGCAGACGGCTTTCGACTTTGGGCCGAGGGGAGTTCTTTCGATAGACACACTGTTTAGTTTGTTTAACGTAAGAACTCCTCTAGCCATTTTTCGGGACTTGTGGCGATGACTATGGTAAGGAGGCATGACTATTTTAAGTAGGGGTGTGGGATGATTGTTTAGGGACAAGTTTTGGCTCAGGCCCACGCGAGAAAGGAATATTTTCCTTCGGCCTATTGTGTTAACCTGCAGAAGATACCCCTCCCTCCTTTCCATAGCAGCTGAGAGCCTGACTTTATGACGGGGGTAGTTCTTACCATAGACAAACAAAGGTTAAATTCAGCATATCTTTCAACTCTCATTCTGAAAAATAACATCATTATGAAGGACAGTTTTGTGAAAATGAATAAGTTCTGATTTTTTTTTTTAATATTTGAAAACTTATCTGGGCTCATAAAAATGTGCAATTTTAAATTTTAAAACATATAAAGTAGTTCTACAAGCCCGGATCACAGGATGGTGTTTGAAAAATTATTGCTCCGCTTTGAAGGTCATTATGAGTCTATGGTATTTAACCAGTTCTCGGAAAGGTCAATATTGGTGAAAATGTCCGATCTCTCTTGCAGGATTCTAAAGCACTTCGGGAATCGGACGATCCAGACTTCACCCTGTGCTTTCAGTACACTCTTCTGACCTGGATTCCCTGTGCTTTTCTTTGTTTATTTGCCCCACTAGAATGTTATTTTCTGACGCAATCTCGACAGAAAGAACTACCATGGACGGGAACGAATATTACAAGAATGGTAAGTATACCTTCAATTAAACTTTAATCCAATCCTAACAGCTTGATTAATTTTACACACTGTCTTGCTGTTGTCCATGCGGAGATATTGTTCTTTGTGTATTGTTAATTTAAATTATAGTAGTTTTAGTAATGTGTCCACCTTATGTATGGGACATTTCATCAGAGCTGTACTACTTTCACCTCTCCAGCCATAACTCGAGTAATGCTGGAAAAAACTAAGCAGCAGATTGGATCGTTTAAAATTCCACAGCCATTTTAGAAAAGATATTATTTTTTATAAAAATGCATAAATTATTCTAAATAATTTAAATTATTTGCTCGAATAATCTCTTTGCTAAATAATAAAGTTACTGTAATCAATTGATTAGTTAGAATCAAAAACTATAATACAAATCAAATTATGTAAAATATTAAAGGAAATGATGTCACTTATTTATTTTTCATTATCTGAAAAATCAAATTCAATCATTGATAGCGTTCATACAAACATTACCTCAGGTGATTCCACTCAGGTGTTGGGGACCCACTAAACATTGCCAATTCCCCCCCCCTCAATATTGAATATATTTAAAATTGGGCATAAATTGTTTTTAATGGTGGCTATTATAACCAAGAAAATAATTCTTTGTCAGAAACTAGTTATGGATTATGTAATTTCAAGATTTGTAATGCAAAGTAAATTTCAAAGAGTTACAATCAATAGAGTTACAATAGCTGGAGAATTGCCCGTACGTCTAATAAGAATGTTTGAATCAGCAGCAAATACTCTACTTATCATGAGTAGTGTTTATTTACCATTTATCTCTTCTATAGGCTGTGCTGTATAATGCTTAAAATAAAAAAGTGAACAACCTGAATAACTTTTAATTGAATGATCAGATTTTTCCCCAGCAGTTTTAGTTCTTAAAAAGGTTCATATATTAATTTGTACATTTGGTCAATGCTATCTTAAATTTGGTCAGGAGAGTGATTGAAAGTTTGAATAGTCAAAAAATTAGTGTTAATATTACTTTGCGTATTTTGCCATGTTTTGAAATTTTTATGCGTATCAAAATGTAAAAAAAAATTCATGTCAAAAATTTTTGCTAATTATTTATAATTTTTTTTTTAATATTTAATAACAATTGTAAAATGTTTGGTTATTAAAACAAACCATTCAATCATTATAAAGTTTGTAATATTAAGTGACAAAATTTAAACGAAATCATAGTTCTCGATGAATGTTGAGAAATTTAAATTGACATTAAGAAAGAACCATGCCCTCAATTAATTTGAGGTCATGAATCCTTTAGATTGAGTCTTTAATAAGTGAAAATTCGATCAAAAGGAGAGTTATTCAGGTTCACTAAAATGATGAGTGCATTGTTTGATGAGTGCATTTGGTGGAGGTGAAAAATACTGTTATTCATTAATCATCTTGCAGGTGATCGCTTTAGTTCTGGCTGTTCTGCAGATTGCAATATTTTGCGATGTTATGATTAATAAGAAGAATGATGTGCATTTCTCACCCCTTGTTCTTGCTGTTGCACTTAAAATTTTCACCTTCGTAAGTTTATTCCATTTCATAATTCCATTTTAGAGTTTGCTTTGTATGAATATTTCATTAGTAATATGATATTCATTAGTAATATGTATTACTAATCATAATGTGTATTCTGTAATGTAATACTAATGCATTACAATTCATTAGTAATATAAAGTATGTATTGAATAATATCTATAAATGGATATTTATTGCACATTGCGCACATTAAAAAAAGATATCACAATCAAAATTTTTTTCCTTAATCAGATTTTTATGAACTAATTCAGGAAACAATTGAAATTTATTGTGTCAAAAGGCAATTTGAGCACTCTAGCTAGTTGGGAAGTAGTTGAAATGAAAATAGTGAACATTTTGTAACCATATGAACTCTTAACTGCTCAGAAATGGGTTAATGTAATACAAATGCAATGTGCGTAGATCGTTTCATGAAATAGTTTTCGACAACACGTTTTAACTCAGAAATCAACTACTATGCGCAAAATACTAATTTTATATTTTATTTTATAATCGTCATTAAACAGCTGATCCAGTCTTGTCAATTTTGAACCCAGTCCAGAAGACATGGGAACTCCTGGATCAAGTATTGGGAGAAATTTGCCTTCATGGGGGACAATGGAGAGGAAAAACACAAAAACCTCCCACGGTTAGCTTGACCACAAGCGGTTTCCATGACCACAGATATTTTACGTGAGCTCTGTTAAGTATTGAATGTTAAGCATTTTTCTGACGGAATTTTTTCATAGCATATCGCTAATTTGTTAAAAAAAATCTAAGGACAAGACAAACTACAGTATTAATTGACAATTCTGTTAAATTTTCAGGTAAATCTTATAAAAATTTAAGAAGTTTCGGCAATTAGCATATAAAAATAGGTATATGTAAAAGAAAAAAGGATTCTATTGAAGAATTCATTTTTAATAATTTTTCATGAATTTGGCTCTCTTCTTGGGTTGTCCACGGATGTTCTCTCTTGCCCCCCCCCCATCACTGCTATATGGCTAATAAATTTTCGATGTTTGTACGATTTTGCACATCGTAAATTCATGTGATTTTTCATCTATTATTGTTACAGATTTCTGCATGGTTCTTTGAAATCCAGGTACATTTTTTCTGATGCGATTGATTTTCGAAACATGTATTTTAGTGAAAACTTCAACTTGCCCCAATTTCACTGTGAATCCACATTTTTTCAGCTGTCATACCCATGGAGTTTTGAATATTAAAAAATTCGATTTTTTTAAAACTAAACGCATCAATGCAGCAATGATAGCATAAGGAAAAGTTGGATTTTTTTCTTTGATTATTGTTGAAAACACAAGCAAGAACAGGAAAAAGTATTGTTCAAGCCCAGTTTTCCTGTTGATTTTTTAAAATATTGAAATATAAAGAATGTCAGATCGTAATTAAAAAATGAAAAATTTATGGGTCACCCATTGTGTTTCAATGAGGCCTGTACATGCTGAATATTCTCATTTAAAAAGAAATTTCTAAAGTAAAAAGACTTGGTTTAATAGCACTTTAAAAGATGTCTGCTTTATGTCATTTTCATGAAGCCTGTAACATTAAACATTTTTACTTAAAAAATAACAAAGACATTTCATATATTTACTATTTTTATTACAGTCTTTAAAAAGAAATAACTTTTTTTTTGACAGATCTTTGCTGTGATTCTCATGTTATTTAACCGAAAGAAAGGCCGTCACACGTCTGGTATTTTGTTCATTTTTTGGATGTTGCTCATAATATGTGAAGCCTTTATGTACAGATCTTCATTTTTACAAATCAGATATGTGAGTTTATTTTTCAACTTTTATTTTTTCAGCCCTGTTTATAATGCTGTTGATAGTTAATAAGAATGCTCTTATAAAAATAACTGTCTGTATGCAAACACTGTTCATAAGCAAGTATCATTTAATACAGTAAAACCTTTTTACAACACTATTTTGGGTACCCAATAAATATAATGTTGTAGAGGAATATATTGTTATATCGAGGGCCTTTGGGGACTCAATAAGATTTTTCTTTTGAAATTTTAGTGTTATATATGTATTAACTATAAATCTATTTATATATTATGCAAAAAGTTAATTTGTAGAGTGTTAATTATGGTTAAATATTAAGAACAATTGGAATACATTCACAAAGTAACATCGTAAACATATCCGAAAACCATTTTTATTTGAAATAATCTGATATTTTTGTTTATTTATTCATTTTTTTGACTGTCAAGTCAACCAACAAAGCATGAAAATGATTTTTGTTTATGAAGATGCTCCCCCCACCCTCTATGGAAAAGTTTTCTTTCAGATGATGATTGTGGTCATTTGTGACTCATGGTCAGCTTTTAACATGAAGTAAATGTTACATCTCTGTGATTACTTATGAGATAAGGGAGGCAATTCTAAGAAAGGAAGCTCTTGGGGTTGGTCAGCAGTGAGTCTTTTCTTGTCAGAAAAAAAATGGAAAAATGGCAAAAGATAAAAAAATAATTTTTTTTTACAGTATTTGAAAACCAAGAATAAATGGAGAAAATAATGTTGAAGTTAGGAAAAAAAATCGTTTGAGGGGTTTATTGCTTCAGAGAATATCGTAATATCGAGAGGAGAATAACATTAATTCATATGAAAGTTTTTTTGGGACCACGATACCTTATAGGGGGAGTTATTGTTGTATCAGATATCGTAGTAGCGAAAGTTCACTGTAAATACCACCCTCTCATCAGGCTGCATGGGTTTTGTTTGATGATTCCAATAATGTTCTATTCGATAGTCGGTAGGTTCACTAAGGGATGGTTGACTGAATGTAAACAATAACAATCTTCCTAAATTTAGTATCCCTCCGATTGTGTTATGCTTAAGAGGCGATGTGTGAACAGGCTTAATGTTCTAGGAAGTTTTATGATTGTAATTTGTGTTTAAATTTACGTGCAAATTTTGAAATTCATTAGAGTTTTCTATTATTTATAAATTCAAACAGTCCATGAGTCTAAAACAAATTTAATAAAATTAATATCCCATCAAAATAAAATGTAAGGTTAGCCATATTTGGATTGCCTTATTTGGCTATATTTGTGTAAAATAGCACAATTGGCCCTTTTTTGGGTAGCATCATAGCAAGCTTGCTTTTTTTTGCAGTCATAATTTCCCTTCATTTTAAACTTGGTGCAGAATTTATTAATTAATAATTCTTCTATTTTTCGAAAATTTCTGTTTGTGGGAAGAGAGATTTGTTTTTTTGTATCTGTAGGAAAAAAAATCAAGTTAGCAGAGTTTTCATTCCTTTTTAACTGTCTAATTTAAAAGTCAAAATTCTGCATTTCATAGAAAATTATAATATAGTTTCTGAGCAAATAAAATTAAAAAAATTTAATATTTTTAAATTTCAGTCATATTTTTTAATTCACAATTTTAATATTGTACAATGTATTTTCATTTATTGGTTTAGAGGGAAAGAGGCTACTTTAATAAGAGATGTTTAAGATCATTGTTATATATATATTTTTTGGAAAACTTTTTTTTTGAGTCATAAAATTATTGTTTTAAGAATATACAATTAAAAATATATATTTGTGATTTACTTTGTTTCAAAATTGGCAATACTTTATAAAGCTTTTCCCGTAGACAAACTCTTTATATTTGTTGTAAAATAACAAACTGTTCAATTATCTATGTATGAAATTTGAATTTCTTATTTCTCTCCAGCAAAACAAGTGTTTAGATTACTTTTAGCATTGTTATAATAGTAAGTTTTATGTTTTTGAAGAAGTTGTGGAATGTACATATTTTAGATCTGAAGTATATTTTTGAGGATATTCCACTGTTTTATTCACCCTGCTTAAACTTAGTGTTATACTAAAAAGTATTGAAACATTTTAAAATGTGCTCTTTTCAGTTTGCAATGAGTGTTTTTGAAATCCTCTTTGTTTTATTAGATTAAAAGTGCAGATGATTCATCATTCATTGTGGAAATGATTTATTTTCCTTTGGTAGTCACTGAATTTCTCTTATCGTGCATTGCTGATATCCGATACAAGACTGAAACATCAAAAGGAAAAAGAGTGAGTACTTTGGTCTGTACTGTAAAAGCCCAGAATTCAACTAGCGGTCCAAGTAACCAGAATTTTTAGAAATGCATTATTTTTCTCTTTAAGATTAATAGGAACATTAAAAAACAATAATTTTTGATAAATGATTCTTTGATTTCATTTAATTTTAATCAGTTTCCTCTTAGTTTTGTTTTTATTTATTCACCTTTAATAATTTTTATTGACAACTTCATTCAAACCCCTCTATATAGTGAACTCCCGTGCGATTTATTGGTAAGTTGTTTGGGCTAATTGTTAATTATCACATAATGACTGCCCAATTGACTAGTTTTTGTTCTAAAATTTGAATTCTTACGTAATTGAGTTTCTTAAAATATGATATTCTTTTTTATTGATTTACTTTTCTTTTCTGATTGTGGAAAGCACTTATGTTCTTAATCAATATTTATTTTAAAAAAGGAAAGTTTAGGGGTGCAGCCAGAAAGGGGGGGGGATCATCAACCCTCCCAGAAACAGTCAACAAGAATTAAGTCAGCTGACGATCTATTGGAAAGAGATCTGATTTCAAAGATGCTATCCTATATGGCATTAAAAAATTTCATTAACGCAAAAAAAAAAAAAAAATTGCAAGAAAAAAAAAAAGTTTTGCAATTAAAGAAAAAGTAAAATCACAAATGTTCATAGTGTTTAATATATCATGAGTTAAAGTACATCAATTAAAAATTTCATGATAATGATTTAATAAAAGGGTAAAATTTTTTTCAAATTATCCAGAAAAGAATGAGGCTTACAGAAAATAACATTTAAAAATTAAGTATTTAAAACATTTACTTATAGTAATTCACAATGAAGAGAGAAAAGAATTCAAGATATGTTTAAAAATGATCCATAATATTTCTTTTTAAATTATAAATAATAATATATTTCTTTTTAAATTATAAATAGTTTTTAAGTTATATTGCACCTCTCCACTTTTTATTAATTTATAGTTGTTATTCAATAATTATAGTTAAAACTAGTTTATTGTCTAAAAGTTTTTCTAAGTAAATTGTCATTTATTTAAAATTAATCATTAAAACAATGTATATTAAAACAATTCATTTTAAAATCCTTCCCAGAAATTTTTTTTATTGGTTGTGCCTCTGGGCACAGTCATACTTTAGTTGCAATTGCAGGGGTCTGTGTAAGTTTTTATGAGAGGTACCTATTTTGTGAAATTTTAGACCTTAATTTGTGAAAATTAAAAATTATATTAAAAAATCAAGACAAAAATAGGGTAAAGTAAGAAGATATTTTCAAAAATGGTCACTGCCAATAAAAGTCATTTATGACTGGTAAATTTTTATGCATTTTTCTCCCTATATTCAAAAATAATTTTGCTATAGTAAAATTTTAGGCTTAAAATTGTATCTAAATTTAAAAATCCATAAAAATCATTGTCCATAGTTAAATTTTAACTTGAATTTAATAAAAACATGCATTTAACAGTACTTGCACTAAAAGTTATTTACATTATGAGAACATTTTTTACGGGGTCATATAGAAAAAAGCTTCACAGAGAAAAAAAAAATGTTTCATAAAATAATAAAGATCTGTTAGAGTAAGTTTAGAACAATGTTCGAATGTTTGGAATAATATTCGTATTTCAACTTCCTGTAAAGTTTACAGAGGAAGCGCCTCATCGTTTAATTAAAGAAAAACTCTGCGAAGAAAGTACTCGCTATAGTATGGCATAAACGAATGGTTAGGCTACCGTGCTGCGCTATCTGACTGAGCACGTGCTCCCTAATTGTATATGCTTAATTCATCTGGGATTTATTATTTCTTACGGGGATACAAAAACAAAATTTTAAGAGCCGGGGGAAAGAGAATCTTAGAACTTAGCTTTTTTAAAAGTATTTTGTGAAACTACCGTTTTTCCTAAAGTTGAATTTGTGAAGGTACCGCTAAACAGTAGTAAATTTGCACTGGACAGACCCCTGAATTGTATCTGTATATGGATCCCATTAGTCAGCTCGTAGGATCATTTGATACTTTAAATTTTTCATTGTGAAAGATTAATTGTTCTATAAAGGGACATTAATTTTTACTTTTCTCACTTATTTCATGCTACTTTTTGCTATAGCTGATGGATAGTTCAAGCATACAAGTATATTTTCTTTACATTATTGTTATTATAGTGTTTGTCTTGTCTTGTATCTGACTGTTGATAGAGAATTTGATATTAAATATTGAAAAAAATATGTACATTTTGTTGAAATTAAGTTACAATTGTAAATAAACAGATCCTTTTGAGAAAAAGAAATATTTTAATAAAGATTATAACATAAGACAAACTTAGACGAAAAAAAAGAACACTTCTATTGATATATTTTCTATAAAATTAAAAATAAAATGTTGCCAAAATCAAACGAACAAAAACAAGGCAATGCATCAGTCAGACTGCTTACAACAACCTCGATTTGCTGATTCCATCAATAACCTCCGGTCCTGGTACTTTATATTCTTTCACATTTAATTCAATCGTAATTTCTATAATATACCTGCATGAAATATTTTTTAGAAAAAGTAATTATCTTCAAAGTTTATTCTCCATTAAACGCTCGCATGAAACGTTTTATGCAAATACAAATCAAACAACTTCAAGAAGCAACAAATGAAACTAAAACAGCAAATTGAATAATTAACTTTTTGCAATTACGAGTTGAAGAGTTCAGTAGAGTTGTTGCATTCTTGGGTGAAATGCCATAATACCAAACCGTCAATGTTGTTTTTTCTTAGCTGATTCTGGAAGAATACTTCAGTTCAATGATTTTAATAGTCCAAATAAAAAAAAGCTTTTTGTAGAACAGCTCAATTTAATGAAACAGTAGAGAACCAATTATCCTGGATGTCCGAATTTCCCGGTTTCCCGGATCAGCCAAAAAGTGTCGCTTATGGATGTTTTATTGAACCTAAATTACAATGAAAAAGAGTAATACATTTTAAAATAAAAAAAAGCTCTCCTAAATTGAAAGAAAAAAATATGGTAGAAAAATAGCATTTATAAGAATAAAAACATTAAAAAGTTTAGACAAGAAAATCAAGTTTGTGAAATACAAAATTCACATATTTATTTTTTGAAGATAAATTAAAATCAAAAATTATCTAATATAAAACAAAACCAATGATTATAAAAATGCAATATATTTTATAATTAATTATAGGGAAAAAAGAAAACGATAAAATACAAGGAAAACTTATTAATCAAATTAAATAAAAACATCGCTTGAAAATTACCAAATGAAAAAAAGACGCTAACATAAATATGAAAGCCTCTGAAAAGGCAGAATATTATAAAATTAACGGAAAAAAAAACTCAAAACGTAGTGGTATTAGAAATGTATCACTTAAAAAAAAAAAAAGAAAACTGCAATCTGCCTCTTAAAGTAATTTTCCGCTATTAGTAATAAATTATTGTATGCTTAGATTAATGAACAATCTTCTCCTTTTATTTTTTTATAAAATGAGGCGGTTTTTAACGATAGCAGAAGTGATTCCTCATTCGTATTCCAATTAGTATTTTGTACTTCCATTTTCTTTTTTTTACCTTTTCTTAGTAAAGTACAGGATTAAATATTTCTTTTTATTTCTCTTTCCTCTTCTGTTCACTGATATACGTGTGCGATTTATTCCCTCCCCCCTCCCTGATAAATCAAAACGAAATCAGCATGTCACTCTTTTGTGTTTGATTGACTACAGCTGATCAGAAAAACGATTTTTTTTCAAGACACATTTGTCCCTTCCCTGCCCCGTTTCGACCTTAAAATCTTCAGGAGGAAATATTGAAGTTTTCTCTTGTCAAACTGAGAAAAATACCACCACCCCTACATTTTCTACTACTCAACTTTTCCGCAATCCTTCTAGTTCAAAAATGGCAAGAAATTTTTTCTGGTCTCCCGGTTTCCTGGATAGCGGATAAATGGTTCTGTACTGTACTTTGGAAACAGAAATATATAATTTATTATACAAGTATACTATGGGGAGGTTTTTCGTTCTTATGAGATCTGAAAAGCTAATAAAACTTTTCACATTTATAAAAGTGCTTTACTATAAAGTCGAAAGAATTGTTGTTCTAACAATAATTACTAATATGTTTTCTATTCAGCCAACTGCTTCTGAAGTTAATTCTTTTCAAGTGGTATTAAAGTGCTAGCTAAATTTCACTTATAGGCAAAAATATTTTAGCATTCTGTCTGTGAGAATTTTTATATAATTATGTGTAGTAGTAGTGAAAAACTTAATAAATCAAATTCATAAATTCAAGTATGAAATTAAAAGAAAAATAGTAATTTTCTAACGATTTCAAAATTGAGAATAAAATTTTCTGGAAAATTTGGAAGAACTGGCATCTGTTATGTATGTATCAATAATATGTATTTAATGTATCAAATATGTGTATTTAATAACAATTATTTGTGCATCTTTTCAGAAAGATAATCCTGAAATAAACGCTTCCTTTTTGTCCAAGCTTTTATTCTGGTGGTTCAATAAGTAAGTTTAATGGTTGGTTGCTTTCCTGTGACTGTTATGCATAAGCAATATATTCCCCCCCCCCATTTTTATAGGTTGGCTGTTCTAGGTTGGAAGAAGCCTCTGACAGCCGAAGACTTGTGGGGTCTTAGTCCGGATGATTGCTCAAAAGCTGTTTTTGAAAACTTTCAGAGAAATTATCAGGCTTCCAAGTTTCAGAAATCCACGCCTTCAGACAAGTAGGTTGATTTTTATTGTGTGATTTCATTGATTATTTTTGCATTACACTCGCTCGTTCACTAGAAGTTGGCACTTGGCTCCGCCTTCATCACGTGGTATCCGATGATACTATTTTGCTATTTTTGGGAGAAGGATGTGAATCGTCCTGAACATGGTTGCTATTTGGCGATCGTATGACAAAAAGGTTTATCTTTATGTGCATTTTTTTAATTAATATTTCATAAATTTCATATTTTGTGCCATTTGTTATATTTCTGTCTTTTGAGTGAATAGCTTGTCCTTTTTGAGACATTCTGCTGGGAAAACATCAGTTTTTAAATTTAAAATATATTTAATTAGCTGGAGTAACGAAAGGTATAATAGCAGATGTTAAAGCGAAGTAAGTGACTGAAAAAGAAGCCACTGTTTATGTTTGGCGCGCATTAAGGATTGTCTCCATTTAAAGGGTGGAGGTGTTTCTCTTCTTACTCCTGTGTGAAATAAACTCTTCGTCCAAGGTGGTGGAGCCAAGTGCCAACACCTGGTGAACAAACTATATATACACTATATCAGGGACTGCTGAAGGGGCTTTAGCCAACACCTACTAGAAGGTCAAGGCCTGCTGGCTGAGCGATTTCAACCCCGTGACGTCACGATCAGAAGGTNAATTAAGATTAAATTTGTGAATATTTTTTTAAAAGCAATTTTAATAAATTTTTTTCTTCTCTTTTAGAAAGTATTTTTTCTCTCTCCATGTTTTCTCTATATTTTTAACTTGTATGTATTTGTGTGTGTATGCACGCATGCACCATTTAATAACTTTATTACTCCTAAAATAAAGCAGAATATGGTTTCCAAGCGCATAATTTTTACAATTTTTTTTTAACTGAACCCCCTCCCCCCGTTCTCTAAGGGACTCCTTTTCAGTGTATATGTACTTTTCAAAAGAAACAGAAGGTCACGCCATGCAATGAAGCCAAATGCTTTCTCCACTGATTTTACTGAAGTGAAAATTTTAACCTTAGTTAGACAAAAAGGATTTATTAAGTTGTTTGTTCTTTGAGTTGTTTGTTCCTGGATTCAAATGATAATGCAATATTTTTTTTCACTTTTTTTTCTACTTGCAATATTTAAGATATTTGTTTTGCAAGACTTAAGTATATATATATATAGTTATGTGTTGCTGTTATGCACTGCAACTTCATAATACATTTACTCTTTAACTGTTAATATATTTCTTACGCATTGACTGTTAATACATTGTTACTTATTTAAAGCTATTTTTAGCAAAAAATGAGTCCTATTTTATAGATAATAATAGGTTAAATTCTCAACTTAATGATTTTTCCATTTTAAACCCTTGTTATGGGGCTAGTGTATGCGTAAACAATTATTTTTTAGTGTATGTATTGAAATTAGTTCATATATCATTCAAAGAGAAGATAAATGTTCGAATTAAAAAAAGAATTCTAGTCTGTTAGCAAATTTGTAAAAATTGCCCCCACTAGCCCCTTTCTCCCCTACTTTTTCTAAATAAACATACTTTTTTTTTGGTCCAAACAATTCAGAAAGATTCTCTCTAAAAATCTGAATAGTCTGTGCAATCTAAAAAAATGTTTTACCAAAATAATTTAATCGTGCTTAAAAATATGCGTGGGGAAGAGAAGTTATAGATAATGTAAACCTTCATTTATGGAAAGGTACCTCTCCATAGAATCAGGTTAACATGTCTTATATACTTGTGAATTGCAATTATGTAGTGGTAGATACTTTTTTTTTCTCCCTCCAAGGCCCTAGGCATGTACCTAGGTTATGAAAAACCCTTAACCATATAGCTCAAGACTTGGCCACTAGTTCAGCTCCACTCAAGCCAAGGAACGGGTCCAGTCTCTGGTAAGTGGTAGATACAAGATACACTTTCTTTCCTTCCAGACGTGGATACGTACCTAGGTTAGTAAAACCCTTACCCGTATAATCCGCATCTGGCCACTACTTCCAGCCAACCTCAATCAATTATTTAAAGTTTCAAAAGAAAGGAGGTTAAAATTTTGTTTTCAAATATACAGAAATATTAATTATAGTTTAAACAAGAATTTTTTCTCATATATATGACATATAGAAAGTGACAATAAATGAATTTTGAAAAGTAAATTAATAAAAATTTTTTTTTTTTAATTCTCCATTAAAATTTTGATTTTTAGGTATTAAATAATAAAAGAAAGTAATTAAAATGTTATAATAATAAATAAAAAATTAAATAGAAAAGATATGTACAGTATTTACAACATATAGGTAAACATTCCAAAATATATAGTAATTTTTTTTTTATATTTAAAATTTTAGAATATTATCATTATCAGAAAGAAAATTCATTACTAATAATAATTTGGTTTTAAGTGCATTGTTAGTTATGAATTGTTCTTGCCAAGTTGGCAGATTAGTGATATTCGATGCACGAGTACGCCATGAAGTTGTATAGATGCATTCAGTAAGATAGTGTTCTGGAGTGCCCAGAAGGCTGCACGTGCAGTGATCATTATCTGAGATGTTTAGATATTTAAAATAACATGGAAAAGGACCATGCCCAGTTAGAAACCAGATTTCTTGTTTTGATGGTATTGTCTTAAGATAATCTACTTTATTAATAATTTTATATAATCTTCTTCCCTTTTCTGAATTGTTCCAATAATTTTGCCAAATTTGTGATAAAGAGTTCTGAAGTTGATTCTTCAGATGTGAGATCGGGAAGGGATATGAGTAATTTTGTTGTTTAGTTGTCGATAATTTAGCTAGGGCATATGCATTTTCATTACCTGTTCTGTCATTACGTGCTTTAATCCATGAGATAAATATATTTGTATTAAGGAGTAATTTTTGTATTTTAGCCGAGAGTGAATTTTTCGTGCCTGGGTTGATTACAGAGTATAGTACTGATTTAGAATCCGACCAGATTGTATATTTTTTAGATGCCATGAATGAAGTCTGTGATTTTAGCTAGGGCATCTGCATTTTCATTACCTGTTCTGTCATCATGTGCTTTAATCCATGAGATAAATATATTTGTATTAAGGAGTAATTTTTGTATTTTAGCCGAGAGAGAGTGAATTTTTCGTGCCTGGCTTGATTACAGATTATAGTACTGATTTAGAATCTGACCAGATTGTATATTTTTTATATGCCTTAAATGAAGTCCAGAATTTTATCTGTGATAGAATTCGATGAATGGGATGCCACTAGTTGATTCATTGCTGTTTTGTAAGTAGCTGGGAGAGCTGTATTAAGATCACCATACTTTTTGAGTGCTGATCGTGACAGCTATATTAAGTTCACTGTTGTGGTCGCTCCTGTGTTGCCTTTAGCAGTAGAGTGTATACCTTGTATGTTGTGTGTGATCGAAACTGAGTGGGAACATCCTTGATGATGTCACAGTCACAAGTAGCAAGACAACTGTTCAATGGGGACCATCCATTGAAGTAGGAGTGCTCAAATAGAAGTGGACATCACTGTCAAGATAGGCATGTTCATAACGAAGTAGGAGTTTCTGTCAAGGTGGGCATGTTCACATTACGTCTGAAGATCACCAATGTGAGGAGAGAAGTTATAGATAATGTCAACCTTTATCTATGAAAAGCAACATAGAATCTAGTTAAGATGTCTTATATACTAGGGAATTGGAATTGTATTTTTGTTGTGGTAGATACACTACAGTATGAGTGCTCTTAATATTGTTTTGTTGTATTGAAATTCCCCATATCTTTGATACCATTTAAGCAACAAAAAAAGTATAAATAAATAAATTATAAGTAAAAATTGTTGCATACTATTTTAAAACTTTTATATTCATAGATAATTTCTATGCATTTTTGTTTATTTTTAAATTAATTTAATAATAATCAAAAATGTTTTGAGTTTGTATATGAATTTAATTGTGTAATTTTTAAATTAAAAAAAATGTAATGTGATTCTGCATTGCAGGACCCACAAGACTACTTCCCTGAGTGAAGATGTAGGAGAAGAGGAGACCAAAGTGGATTTCATTCTTCATAATGGTGTCCAGAATCAGTCTAAGAAGAGAATCAACATAATCAGATCTTTAGCTAAAACCTATGCTGGATATTTTATATTTGGAAGTATAAGTAAACTTGTCTATGATTTACTTCAGTTTGCAAATCCTATCATTCTTAGGTGAGTGACTTCTCTTTAATTTTGAGATTTTTGTGTGCTTTGCCAACTGAATAATACTTTCAGGTTTTGAAGATCAGGTTGCTAGACTTTGCAGAGCTATAGGCAATACATTTTGCTTGACCCATTAAATATTCTCTTTTTGTAATGCTCTTAAGAAAAATTTTGCCTATACTTTTAAAAGAGCCGTGCCTATGAGTTTGATTCCGCCGGTCTAGTAAATGGTGACTGATGCACGTTAAATCTGTCGGGTTGCAAAGTCCTCCATGTTCCCATAACAAATCAATACCTCTGTGGGTACTGATCCAGGAGTTTCCTTGTCTTCTGGATTGGTTGAAAATGGCAAGGCTACGGAGTTGAACTTTAGTAGTCATAAACCAAAAATTGGGTTGTCTGTTCAACGACGGTTATAAAATAAAATAATGAGGTGACCTGGGTCCAATCAAAGAGATAGCTGGCTGATTCAAATCCTGCACCCAGATCGCACCGACCTCAGTTCTGAGATAAAATATCTTCAGTGGTAGAGAAATCATGGGTTAGAGTCCCCTTGTTGTCAGGCAAACCGTGGAAGGTCTTTCTGGTTTTCTTATCCATGTAATGCAAATGCGGGTTAGTTCCATTAAAAAGTCCTCCATGAAGGCAAAATTCTCCCTATACATGATCCAGGCGTTCCCTTGTCTTCTGGATTGGGTTCAAAATTACAAGGCTACGGAGCTGAATATTGGTAGAAATAAACTTAAAATTGGGTCGGCTGTTTGACGATGGTTTTAAAATCAAATATACTTTTGTAATAAATATAATTATTTTTTAAAATTTTATTTTCTAAAAAATCTTTCTATTTTAATACACACAGGGTGAGTGACTCTTAGTGAGAAATTTTGCATTTAAAGGCCCTTTTTAAGTTATCACTTAGTAATAAATACGCACAGTATTGCATTAGTTATCATTTAATAATAAATATTATTTAATAAGAATTATATATAATTAATAAACATAGTTTATTTATTATATTTCATTTCTAAAAGCAAATATTTTTCTATTTCCCCCCCATCAAATTTTGTACTTTTGTTTAATTTTTATATTTAATCTGAGCAACACTAGTGGCTCTTGCAAATGAAGAATTAAATTTAATGGGAACTTATTAAATTTATCTTCTCAGAGTGTTTATATAAATCTTATATTTTAATTTTATGATTTTGATTTACATACCAGGGATCTGTCCAGGGCAAATATACTACCGTTTAGCGGTACCTTCACAAATTCAATTTTAGTAAAAACGGTAGTTTTACAAAATACGTTTAAAAAAGCAAGTTCTCATGCAAACCCTAATCTCATTGCAATCTATGGAAAAGAGCTTTTCCGCCAGAAGAAAAAAGCTTTTTAAAAGAGCTTTTAAAAAAGGTCAGATAGTGCAATGTGGTAAGCCTAACGGGTTGCTTACGCCATATCAAAGCGGGCGTTTTCCGCTGAGCATTTTTTTTAAATGAAACGACGAGCCCTCTCTAAACTTCACAGGTAGTTAAAATTCTAACATTATTCTAAACATTCAAACATTATCTTAAATACTATCGTAAATTTATTCTATCAAACCTTTACTTTTCATGAAATTTTTTTTTTCCTCTGAAACTTTTTTCTGTATGACCTAGTTGGAAATGTTCTCATAATGAAAATAGCTTTTAGTGATAGTACTGTTAAATGCATGTTTTTATTAAAGTCAAGTTGATATTTAACTATGGACAATGATTTTTATGGAATTTTAAGTTTGGGTACCTACAAATTTAAGCCCAAGATTTTACAATAGCAAAATTATTTTAGAATATATGGGGAAAAATATATAGAAATTTACCAGTCATAAATAATTTTTAATGGTAGTGACAATTTTTGAAAATATTTTCTTACCTTACCCTATTTTTGAGTTGATTTTTTAATATTTTTAATTTTCACAAATGAAAGTCTTAATATTCACAAAATAGGTACATCTCAAAAAAACTTTGACAGACCCGTGCATAAGTTTTTTTTTAGTGGGTAATGTGGAGACTTCTCATTTCATTTATCATTATCTTCTTCATTTATCATATAAGGAACTGTTCATATGTTTAACTTAAAGGAGATTTGCTTATTTATGCTTGTAAAACAATGCTCACCCTAAAATCCTTTTATTTAAAATTTTTAAAGTGGCAAAAAATTTGGAATTCTGCAGCATATTTGGATTCTGCAGCATATTTCACTGCAACTAATATCTTTCTGCAAGATACTTTTAAAAATAACAAATATACATATTACTAATTTAAAGTAACAGAAGTGTCAACCACAATTTTTTTTTTAAATCAAATAAAATATTTTTTAAAATTTAATATGTAATAATTTTTTTTTCTAATATTATAGGCTATATTCTTGTATTTTGTAGGGGGTAAACAAACAAATTGCAATTAAAAAACTGGGTCCTAGGTTCTAGGCTCAATGAAATCTTTTCTAACTTAATAAGGCATTAAATTCAACCTTTCTTTCAATGAAATTAAATGTCATGTAACCAAGTGTATAATTAAAAAGCAAACAAAGTTCTAGTTAATAAAGCCATAGAAATTTGCCTAATAATATTTTTGATTGAGTGACATCTTAACGTGACCCTTGTAATTTAATTATGTTCACACAAATAGAGATCATATGTTTCTTATTATTCATACTATTATAAATCATAAAATATGAATCGTATTTAAGTATATTCTTTCGGTAGTAAAAATGATTTTCCCAACTATGTATTTAAAAGAGAGGATATTTCATTTAAAAAATTGTTTTATTGATTTGTTTTTCTTAAATTATTCTTTGAAACTTTCCTATAATTTCTAGTTTGATTATAAATTTTGTCAAATCTGATGAGCCATTATGGATGGGCATTTTCTACGCTGCTTTGTTTTACATAAATGGTCAAGTACAGTCTCTGATTTTGGGTCATTATTTCCAGTCTATGTATGTACTAGGAATGCGTATTCGAACATCTTTAATTACTATTATTTATCAGAAGGTGAGTTTTTTATTTCAATTAAATTTTCTTCAACAATTTTTAAGAATTTTAATAATTATTATATTGATGTAAATATTTAAAAAAAAAATTCTAAGATAATTATTGATTGTTAGCATAAAACAAAAAAAAAAATTTTACTACTGGTCTGTGATCAGTTTTAGCATTTTCGACAGTGGTCATTGTATAATATGTAGCCATTTTTTTTATAAAATTGAGAATTCTAAACAATTAAAAAACTTGATATTAATAAGATATTTCTTTTTAAGCACTTTTTTTTTAAAAAAAAACTTTTGTAAACAATACAAGATTCATTTCTAATCAATGACTCATTCTATTATCTTTTCAAAGAAAAATGTGGTTTATTTCTTTCTTACAAAAAAACAAGTTCAAAGCCATGTAGAACCAAAAACAAACTTCAACATAAAAAGAAATTGCTAGATGCTTAAAACTAAAATAATCCTGGATACGATTAAACTAATAAATTTAGCTTCAATAAATGATTTAGACTAGTGAGCAGGGGCCCCCATCAGGGGGGAAGGTGGGCGCACGATGCGCCCACTTAAAGCTTGGGGGGGGAATTTTTACACGAAATAAAATGAATTGTTTGGGGAGAGAATTTAGATGAGAATTTTTTTTTAAGTACATAAATAAAAGAAGCAACTGGCAATGCAAACAAAGTAGCACTATTTCGAACAAGCTAACATGGAAGGGGGAAGTTCGCAATTTTTTTTTTGGGGGGGGGATGGGGCCACTGCTAGTGAGAATTGTATTTCAGCACCCCTCCTCCGAATTCTCACATCTCTAAAAAGTAAAACAATTAAAAAGAATTAAAGTCTAGCAAGATAGTTTATGAAAGTTTCAAGTTTTTCAAATTTGTCTCTAGGTAAAGCTTTAGTGGACTTACCAGTTAACTGTTCATTACTGTTGAGATTGTGGGATTATTAGTTATCAACCATGTCAACCTACATCTATGAAATGGTACCCCACATTGGTGTCCTGGACGTGATGTGAACATGCCTACCTTGACAGAAACTCCCACTTCGATGTATTGTCCTCATTGAACAGTTGACTTGCTACTTGTGACTGCGACATTTAGCGCTGTAGCTACTCAGTTTCAATCATACACAACGTCGGCCTGTATACACTTGACTGCTAATGGCAACACAGGAGCGACCAAGACATGAACTTAATACAGCTCTCATGATCAGCACTAAAAAAAAGTACGGTGATCTTAATACAGCTCTCCTGGCTTATCACAAAACTGCAATGAATCAACTAGTGGTATCCGTTCATCGAATTCTGTAGTATGTCTACCACAAAATTGCAATTCCAATTCACTCGTATATAAAACATGTTAACTTGATTCTATGTTGCTTTTCATAGATGAAGGTTGACATTGTCAAAAACTCCTCTCCCCACATTGGTGGCCCGGTATAGGTAAGTCTGTACAACTCAAGGTGATTAAACAGACTGTCCCAGTGCCACCAACCAATACAACACGTACAGGGAGATCTGTAAGCTTCCTCATCATTAGCAAAGTTATTGCGGAGGGAGTGTGCAGCAAGAAGCCGAGCCAGTTTAGTGATAAATGAACATTTTCTGGAAACCTGCTCTCTTTGCAGTTTTACACTGGTACTTCTTACATGTATAGTTGGAATCTAATAATGATGTGTTTGGTGCATTTTTGATAAACAGTTTTTTTTATTGCACTTTGATTATTAAAAGAAACACCATATGTATCATGCATTGATGTTTCTCCTATGTCACGTAACAATTGGCGAATCCACACAATTTCTTTAACAGCTGTAGATGTTGCTACGTATTATGATTCTGTGGTCAATGTTGATACAGAAGATTGTCCTATTAGTACACCATGTTATGATACCACTTGATAACATGGTAACATATCCAGTGGTAAATTTTCTGGTATCTTAACGTCAGAGTGAGATAGAAACTTTTCTGATATACTGAATACCATGATGTGTAGTCGCTGTTAAATATTTTGTAATTATTTTTGCACCATTGCAATGCATTTTGCTATAACCATTTCGAAACCTACGAACTATTTTTAAAAGATTTACAGCATATGTAATGCATGTGTTAGTTGAAATCCAACAGTGATTAATAGTGATCCAATAGCTGCGCGATACAGTACACAAATTACTTCTGAAATTATATCAGGCTTAGATGGTAGAATAACATTAGAATCTGCTGCAATTTTGACTGCATTACAATCTTCAAGGTTAAAAAAACTTAACCTGGTAGTGTGACAGGCCTTACAGGGCCAAGGCCTACTATGCTCATCTCAATTTTCTTGACCTCTGGGCTCTGGTGTGCAAGAGCAGACGCTGCAGTTAGGTGGTCAGCTCACTGCGAAACCTCCAGTGTTTAGTTCCCAAGCATGCTCGGTACTCATTTTATCGACATAGGGACGAAAAGTCGAGACAACCTCGCTCCTATTGTTGTGTTTTTGTCAGAGAAAATTGTCACTTCGTTAAGTCATGAAAAATTCTTGGAATTATTTGTGAAAAGTCATGAATTTGAAAATCTGAAATGTAGCAGATCATAACGTTTAGGAATTCTTAAATTTTATTTCTATGTCTCAAACTATGGGATTCCCATACCTGCCAACTTTCAATCCTTTCGAGGATGATTTTTCCCAGTGGTAGTAAAATTTAATTTAAATTACAATTTTAGGCAGAAACATGCACTTTATTTTGAAAAAGCTAATGCGGACTTTCACGATAATGTTACATATTGATATATATGCTTAATTTTAAAAAAATAGTGGTGGTCAAAAAGATTACAAAAATAAGTTTATAAATGCAAGAAATATATAGAAAACATACATTTTACTACCACTTTAAATATAGAAATAAAATTTTACTCCAAATGCGTAAAAGTTGACAGGTATGGATTCCTTTTCATGTGGTTCATTCAGTACATCATTTGCATTTTCTACTGGATCAAGCTCAATTTCATAATCAGTGAACTTGATATTTAAACTAATCAGATGAAATTGTGGATGAAGCTCTGAGTTTGAGCATTCATTAAGTAAATTTCTTAAAAACTTTTTATAGTTTTTGATGAATGAGTCGATAACGTGTTGAATTCCTATCATATCCAATTAAAAATTGTTTTAACCCTTTTGAGAGAAAGTTTCTAATGCAATCGCTCTGTTACACAAAGATATGTCTCTGAGCCTAAAATTTTAAAGTACTTTAGTGTTTACCAGGCCACAGTTTGTATGGACTAGATTCAGGGGTCCGACATGTCGGCCCACGATTCTGTGATATACACAGCTGTGTTTGTGGCATCAGCTATGTTAACTATAACTTTTTATTAACTGTTTCATGCTTCTGTAACTCTTCAGGTTATTAAATGTGTTCGTTCGTGCTCATCTATTTAATTATTAGTTAAAAGATACACAGTGTTAATTGCTTCAGTCCACCAAAACAAAGGTAATTTTTATGATCTAGAAATTTCCATCATGTTTCTCCCATTCTGATTGGGAGTGTAAGGAGATTTAATGCTTTTTTTTGTGAATGAAATCTTTAAAATCATGATTTATGTTCACCGTTCTCAATGCTTTTATTCTTTGTGATTGTTTATTTTCGCACAGAGAAACTATTTTTTTTAAAGTTATCTTATAAAAATACATCGGAAACACATCCACTCAAATCATCTTTAAAAAAAAAGTGACCTACTGATGTTGTTTACATTGGACCACACAAGTCAATGCGGATTAGCTCACCCGGTTTTATAGCTTTATATTGTCTATGACTAAAGGATAGTCTATGCTGTTTGCCATAGTGACAACCCTAACAATGAAATTTATCAGATTCGATGAAAGATAATTTTCGAAAGTGCATTTTCGATGAAAGAGGTGGCAATCTGGTAGTGTCTGACAGACAATTCTTTAATTGTCATTTGTTACATTTAGTCACCTTGTAGCCACTGGTGACCCATAACTTCGACCTGCAAATGTTACGATTAGAAGAGAGAACAAGTTTCTTATGGGGAGCCCTAAATCACACAGCAATTATTTTATGTTTGAATGATACTTTCTAGTCTAATGATAAAAATTATTCTATACAATGTATACATACAAAGGAGGTCCCAATTTAAAATAAAAATAAGTATTTTGAAGTGTAAATTTCTAATCACGCTCTTCAGTAAGAAAGTTCATAAGCTCTGAGCTTCACTTAATAATAGTCATAGACAATAAAAATTTCTTTAAAATTTTTGATAGGTTTTAAAAATTTTGAACATTTGTTTTTTTTTGTTCTTGAAAATCGCCTGTATCGACCCATGCAGAAGGTAGTGAATTTCAAAATAATGTGATGATTTTTTATCTTTTTAGTCTTTGGTGATGTCATCTGCTGCCAGGAAAGAATTCACTGTTGGTGAAATAGTGAACCTGATGTCTGTGGATTCTCAACGATTCATGGATCTCATGATCTACATTAATCTCATCTGGTCAGCCCCACTTCAAATCATTGTTGCTCTTTTCATGCTCTTCAGGATTCTTGGATACTCTGTGTTGGCAGGATTTGGCATGTCTCTCATCCTCATCCCAATCAATGCGGTCATTGCACAACAAACAAAAAAGAGACAGGTACTACTATCTTCTCCTTCTGTCTTTAATAGTGATGGCATTCCTTCGTATAATCCCTCCAGATCTAGAAACTACTAACAAGGCATGTGATTTTTTTTGCAGAAAGACCAGTGGTGTAGTTTTGGGGGAGGGTTTGGGGAACAAAACCCCCTCCAAAATTAAACATTACTTGACTAATGAGATATTGTATTGTAAGTGAGATGTAGATATATATTGGGTGTACAAATTAGTTCAGTCCGTTTTTTTGTGGTCAAAAAGGAATTTATTTCAGAACAAAATGAATAAACAAATTAATCACAGTATTGTCCATCCCTGGCTACTACTTTTTCCCATTTCTCTGGCAATTTTTGAATTCCACCGTGAAAAAATGTCTTGTCTTTTGAGGCGATCCCAGTTAGGAACCAATTTTCGATTTCTGCAAAAGAAGTGAACCGGTGACCTGTCAAATCGTGCTGCATCCGTCGAAGCAACCAGTAATCAGAAGGAGCAATGTCCGGTGAACACGAGGCCGACCGTTATCATGCAGAAGAATAACTTTGTCATGTCTTTGCTCGTTGTATTCTGGCCGTTTTTCTCACAATGCACTGTTCAAAGAAATCAATTGTAGCCTGTGCCGGTCACCCGGCCAGATTGTAGCAGATTATAGTATACAACATCATTCACCATTTTTCATTCAGCATTCCCCATTCTTGAAACGTCAAAACCATTCCCTACAGTATTTATCAGTTGCAGCATTGTCACTATAAACTTCTACAAGCATTCAATGTGCTTCAGCTGCACTTTTCTTACAATTAAAGCATAAACATAAAACCTCCCGCAAATGGTGCTTAGTTACCACAAAATTTTACATATTCAACAAAGTAAAAAATAGGGTTTTTGTATGAAGCTCAAGGTGATATAAATAGAATATTATTGACAGATGTCTAACCTCTCTGAAACCACCGAAACCAGCTGCCGCTATGAAACATTCATAACAGCTAGAGCCATATTTTGAAAACGGAACTGGTTTGTACTCCTAATAAAAAGGTTTTCATTATTCATTTTTTTGTAATTTAAACGTTAAGAATATATATATATATCTTAACCAATAAGCCCCCTCGAACATACTACTACGTCACTGCTCAAGACCATTGAATTATGGACTTCCACGAACCAGAATCCGACGAAATTTTCACCTCAATTTTAAATTTAAAGAATTAAGGTCTACCGTCTAGAATTTAAATTTTGAAACCTTCACTAAATCGCGTAAACATGTTTTTAAACACGTGACTCTTCCGCAATTATAAATTTTGGTTTGTCGGGTTTTCATAGTTTTATAATTTTTGAAACTATGCCGGAATCCTCTAACATTGAGATTCATATTCACGCAATTTTAATATCCAACATCGATTTTCGTATTTACTTAATTTAAAAGTTATTCATTGTGAATTGTATTCATGTGATTAGAAAATCTTGCATCACGATTCATATTCAAGCGAGTTTAAAATCAGATGTTGCTATTCCTATTCGCTGGATCTAAAAAATCATGTGCATCGCGATTCTTATTTACGCGATTCAAAAATCTAATAATGCGAATAATATTTGTATTTTCGCGTTCTTAAAATCCAATATCGAGATTCATATTCATGTGTTTTTTAAATCCAATATCGCGATTCTTGTAAGAGCTAAGTTTTTTGTTTTAAATTAGTTACTATAAAAGTGTGATTATTCTTTATTGATAAGTAATTTAATTATAAAAAAATTACATTAACTGTGAATAGTATATAAATTGATATCTGATCAAGTTTTTACTCATAAAAATTTTCGGGGTTTTTTAGTTTGTGTCACAACCACCCCTGTTAATGTATGTTCTTAGAATATTTGTCATATTAAGTAAAATTGTACATTAGAGGTCACAAAGGAGAAAAATATGAATTTATAACAAATCACTTTTAAGGAGAGGCACGCCCACATCAAAATTAACTGAATAAAACTTTTATTTGATTTTTTTTAATAGTTGCTTTTCTCTGGAAAACAGGTTTTCATGCTTTTATTCCCCTGGTTCAAACTGTTATTGTTTGTCATTAATATTTCTTTGCATTTAAATTTAAATTTTTTTTAAATTGTTTTTTCTTGTTTGTTTTTCCATTATGGGCACTGTCAGTTTTTGGTTTCACCACTGACAACAGAATGGCACCCCTGTGTTAGGGGGCAGTGTCCCCCTCCCCGATGAAATGCTCTCCTGCTAACAAACATATCTTAAATTTTTTATCATTTTCTGCTATTGTATTTCTGACTTACTGAATTAAAATAAAACAAATTTGGTTTTAACTGCTTTGAACGCTTTTCCATTTTTATTTATTACTTTAATGCTACTTACTTATTTTGTCTTTTTCTGAATTTGTAAATTAGTTTGATTAGAGTGTTTAAGTATAATTGTTGTGTGTGTGTTGCAGGAGAAACAAATGAAATGTAAAGACGAAAGAGTGAAGTTGATTAATGAGGTTCTCTCTGGAATCAAAGTATTGAAGTTGTATGCGTGGGAGGAGGCGTTCAGGGAAAAGATTGAGAGCATCAGAAACATAGAAGTGAATCACCTGAAGAGCATCGCCTATCTGGGTGCAGTTGGAGCAATGCTGTGGACTTCTTCGCCTTATCTTGTATGCAATATTTCTTTTCTATTTCAGTGAGGGTGGTGAGCTTATAGCATAGCTGCCAACTCTACTGGAGTTTGCCACTTTCTCCTGGTCTACTGGTTTAATTAAAATTCTCCCAATTTTTGTACATTTTTAAAAATTCCCTAAAATTGCACAAGTTTCCTTAAAAAATTCTGTATTGAAATAGAATTTTTGTGCAGATTATTTCTTGCTTGAATATTTAAGTGTCACTGTCCAGGCCAAATTTACTACCGTTTAGCAGTATCTTCACAAATTCAACTTTAGAACAAAACTGTAGTTTCAAAAAATACTTTTTCTTAAAATTTAATTTTCTATCCCGGAAGAAACGATAAATCCATATTTTTACCATATTTTTGTGTTTATTTTTTCATACAATTTTCAATTTTCACAAATTATGTCTAAATTGTCACAAAATAAGTACCCCTCAGAAAAACCTAGACAGACCCCTGCACTAATACATAAAAGAAGCGAGCCTAATTTATAAAATTCAGTTAATTATCTTTAATCAGTTAAATGCCTATATTATTCAAAATTATAAATAAACATTATACACATATAACATTTCAACATCATTCAATGTGAAATCATAACTGGAAAATATTGCAGTTTTTGTGTTTAGATGAGTATAAAAATCCCTATGTGTGAAATATTTAGTATATTTTGTAACAATTTTCATTAAATTTATATTATTTCGTAAAATCTACTGGATTTTTTCCTATTCGTGTTGGGCATCTGATAGTTAAGAGCAATTAAGCTAAATTCATTATTATTTTTTATTATCAAGTTAAATTTTTAAGCAGAAAAATAGTTTAAAAACAAAATTTAATATTAACACAAATGTTCGTGGGATTTTAATCCAGTGGGCTGAAGTGTGGGTGGACATTAAATCTGTCGAGCCTCAAAGTCCTCCCATAAAACAGTCATAACACATGGTGATTTTTAAAAAGTGCTTTCGATTATAGTTTTTTAAAGGCCCCTATTTTATTGGGCTTAATTTTAATTTTCTAAAATGAGAATTTTTTCTTTATCATGTCGCCACGTATTACGCAAAAGAGTGCTTTTTACATTGTTCAATGTTTTCACAATTCATTCAGCCACAGTCTATTTCGGTATACCGTCGGTCCATAGCGTATGAAAGCGCCAATCATTTTACAGTTCTTTGTCAGAAACTAGTTATTTTATCATGGTGATAAAAAGTCTGAAAATTATTTTGCATTTTGTTAAGGTATATAGTGCTTAAGAATATTTTTCGAGTGCTTAAAAAGTACTTAAAAGATGCCTATTTTTTGTTGAAAGATTTGACTACCCACTCTGTATCAAATTATACCTCTGGATGCTGAATTGGGGATTGATTGTTCTCCGGTTCAGGTCAAAATTACCATCTGCAGATGAATGAATGCTTGTATGAATGGGTCTGTCCTGTAAATGGGTGTGACGTATGGGTGGGATAGAAATCGAATTCTCGGCCATAGATGGCACCGCTGAAAACAACCCCAACTGCACTCCCTTTGCCTTAATGGCTAACGACAACACAAGTGTAATGAAGTTTCAGGTCATTGAAATGTAAATATCTCTTACATTTAAAAAAAAATTAGAATATTTTGTTGGACATAATGAGTTTTATAATGCATGAAAATGAATTAAATATAGATTAAAATTTTTCTAATTTTTTATTAATTCTTTGGGCCCCATTAACGTTTTATTCCTCTTTTCAATGGAATTTGCTTCAGGCATGCCTCTGCACACGACTGTTTTAAATTTGAGTACCGTTAAAGTTATTAAAAAATAGAGATATTTGTGTGGCCTTTATTTCTTTTCCTTAAAACATCAGAGAAATCTAGAAATCTCCAACACTGTTCCTGGCATGTGTTTACACTCTTGACATTTGAGTGTGTTGCCATAAGAGAGACTTTCTAAAGTTATTTAACAATTGTTTGTTACACTTGGAACCTTCTTCCACTATAAAAATACTTATTCTTAAGGTCTAACCTTTTTGAAACTGTGATTGGAGTTCAAAACCTGATTAAACCTGAACTGAAATCTAGATTTTGTATTATTAACTCTTTGTACCTCGATCATAATATAGACTGAATAATATATGAAGTTTCGAACCAACAATTTCCGTGGTTCAACGCACTTGATCTTAGCTTGTACAGGGTTCCCACGGTCCTTAAAAGTCCTTAAAAACTGCTTAATTTTTATTTTGGAAAATAAGGGCCCTTAAAAGTACTTAATTTTTTACCATCACTAAGGATAAGCAGAATGTTGCATAAAAATTTAAATCTATTCAACTAAAAGATCCTCAGATTTTAATAATCATTTTATTCAGTTAACATTGCAACTCTGTTTTTTAATTTTTGTTAAATTTTTGGTTGCTTTAAAATTAGTTCATGTTTTTCACCAAAATGTTTAGTAACATTATGTAAAGTTAATTCATAATAACATGTTTGGCTGGAAATAATTTTGTTAAAGTTTATCATAAAAGTAATGATAACACGTTTGCTGGTCTAGTAGCGAAATATAAAAACTTCCTGTAATAATTTTTCAATGTTTTTGCCAATTTTCTTTATTTACTTTTTTTTAGTATGCATGAAAAAAATTGCTTTTATACATGAAAAAATTTCTTTTTTTACTTTTTTTTTAGTATACATGAAAAAAATTGCAAATCTTAATTTCTGCACACTTAATTTTACAATTCAATTTCAATGAAATCATTAAAAATGGAATACTGATTAGTTTAATGTGTTAACTTTTATAATCTAAATGACGTTAACTTTTAACAATCTGAAATTTTTTTCTTCAAAAAACCAGACCCGGGTTTGCAAAAATAGCCTGGTACTTCTTTGCCAAGCCCTGTTAATTAATACAATTATATCAGTGCTTACATTGTAATAAAATTATTTATTATTATTGTTTTTTTATTGGTGTTTTTAGAAAGGTAAATAATTGGCACTGTCACTGGTTGCATAAGTTCTTAATTTTTCAAAAAAGTGCTTAATTTTTTCAATAAAAAGTCCTTAAAAGTGCTTAATTTTTGCTTTGCTAAAAGAGTGGGAACCCTGTTGTATGGTTGAATCAAAGAAAGCAAATATTTTAATATTCTTAAAAACCTGTATATTGAAGAGAAAGAGGAGTCATTTTTTATAGAAATTGTTTTATTTGTGAACAAAATTTCATTTTTTTAAGTATTAAATATAATTATAAATTATTTTATTATTACTTAAATATAATTAAATAAATATTCAACTTAAAATCAAATTTCAAAAATTTTAGCTCTCTTTTTTTTAAAGATAAATCGTATTTTTATTTATTTTTTATTTTTGTTACTGTATTCACTTTTTTTTAATAATCTAATTAAGTTAGTTTGCAACTTATATGCACTAAAATAAGGAAATACTATCGTGTATCACCTACTAAAATCAATACACTGATCATAAACTGTTCGGTGACATAAATTTTTTATGAAATAAAAGAAAATTTGTTTCCTTTCTGTATTAAATTATAGTATAATAATAACTTGTATATAAAGTGCAAACTTGTAGAATAATATAACTTGTTTCCTTTCTGTATTAAATTCTAGTATAATAATAACTTATGCTATTTCAATTTCCTTTATAATATAAACATAAAGCAAGATTTGTGGGCCAAAACGTAACTTTTAAAATAGTTATTATTTAATCTTTTAAAAATAAATTTCTGTAGCTCTCTCTCTTTTTTTTAATTACATTTTATTTGTCTCTGTCGAAATGAAGATTTTCTGTCACTTCAAGTGAAATAATTAGTAATACGACTTAAAATATTATTTATATAATTTTTATATTTAGTTCAATACAGAATTATTTTTTATTTTATTTGGTAAATATGAAATATTATGAAACTATAATTTTTTTTTTTTTTTTTTTAAATTCCTGTTACGAAAAATAAGTTACTATCATTCTAATTCTAACTTCCTTAAAAATTTTAATCTTAAATTTACTTAAATTTAAATTAAATCAAATAAACTTAAATTTAATTTTGTGTTTTTTAGAATAAACATGATAAAATAATGAAATTTATTTTATCTTATTTTGACTTTTAAAAAAAACAAAATTGATTTTTTTTTAAAATCTACTTTTTGTATGTATGTTTGTATTGTATAAATACATTAAAAAAGATGTTTTTTTTAAACCTTTATTTGTTTTTTACACCGCCATTCTGATGTAGACTATTTGTAATAGTGTTATCAAGAACTAAGAATACATAGTTGTGAATCATTCATTTAACCTCAGATGAACCTTTTATTGAGTTATATTCCAGAAGGATTGTTTTTATAACTTTTTAATGAATTGGTTTGATTTTTTTTATTGTATGAGTTATTTTAAGAAAGACAATCATCTAAGAGTTTCATAGAGTTTTAAAATTCCAAATTAATTATCCTCCTAAAGGCTTGTCTCCGCTCCCGTGCCACAGGTCCTGGGTTCGATCCTGAGACCGGGCAAGGTCGACTCGGCCTTTCATCCCGTCAGTGGATCGATAAATGAGTGCCAAGCGTGCTTGGGAACTAAACACTGGGGGCTTCGCTCTCGGCGGACCGCCTAACTGGAACATCTGCTCCTGCACCCCAGAGCCCAAGGTCAAGAAATCTGAGATGGGCACAGTAGGCCTTGGCCCTCTATGGGCTGTCACGCCACTGAGTTTAGTTTTAAAGGCTTGTCTTTTTTTTCCTAACAGAATATTAAAAAATAAATAAATAAAACACTAAAATGTTTCATTATTTTTTGCAATATTTTTTAAGATTATTTTAACGGCAATAATTTAATTTCTTTATAAAACTTACTAGTCTCTCCGCCTGCATATTTAATATTTAGAGTCTTTTATATTTTACAGGTTGCCCTTTGTACATTTACTACTTACATTCTTGTTAGCAATGAAAGTGTACTTAAACCAGAAACTGCATTTGTTTCATTATCTTTATTTAACATATTGAGATTTCCTCTCACCATGTTGCCTCATCTCATAACCAATATGGTCATGGTACGTAAAATGTTCACTTTTTACTCATTTCGTGAATTATATTGCTTTATACATTTTTTTCTCCGTGGTTTGAATGTACAGTTACTATTTCAGAGAATGCTTTTTATCCATTTCAAGACACTGATTCGTTATCATATATTCATACAGTTTCAGTTTATATTACTATGTGGAAATACCATTGTGGCAGAATTTTTTTGAGCTTTCTGCGACATACCTTTTTAATACTAATATCTTTCTGCAAGATATTTAACAGTAACAAATATACAAACTTCAAAAAAACTATAACTTCAACAAAAAAATTAAATTAAGTAAATAAATAAAAATTGGATCAAATATAATAATTTTTTAAATTGAATATGATATTTTTTTAATTCTAATATGGGCGATATTCTCTCATTTTGTAGAAAGATAACGGACTAATTATTTCCTTTTTCACATTTTAAAATTCATCATCACATTATAAAATCGTAAAATCTATAGCAGTAATTGCCGTTAAAAAAGATAGATGAAAAAAATTATGCAAATCGGATTCTTTGAAAAGAGGCTACTAAATGCATGTTTTCATTTCAAGATTTAGTTGTTGTGATAAATAATATCTGATATTAAAAGCTATGTGGAAATCAGTAGTAATAACTGCATGAAAAATATGAAGGAAAATTTCCACAGAAAAGAAAACCTAATTTTTGACTTCATTATTGTTTATTTTTCATTATTCTTCAGTGCAAATAGAAAAGTCACAAGCATTTTTTCCCTCCACTCTGAAGCGCGAGAAAGGCATCTTTTAAATTTAATTCTGAGGGAAAGATAAAATCTTTCAAAAATTTCTGCCGAAAAGAGAAGCAAAATTTTTTATTTCCCAAACGAAAAATCCTTCTGCAAGAACTCAGTAACGTTCCGAGACAATGTCGCCGTGTTGCCACGATTCTGCCGCGGGAGGAAATACTATTTAAAATTCACATTTTTAGTTACTGTTTTAAAGAATACTTTTTACCTTATTTATAAGACATTATTGATTCTTTATAATCATATTTGAAGCTGTCTGTGTTAAAAAGGATTATGTAGCATTTTTACGAAAATAAGTTATTATTATTTTTTTTGATTTATCAAGTAATACTGAGTAATTTTCTAGACTGCCTAAAGAAGAGAATCTTAACTATTTGGAAGCATTTAAAACAATTTTTCCACAATGGACACAATTTTCTTTTTGCTTTTTCTTGAAAGTGCAGATTTGTAGCATTGAATGCTTTATTTCTATATATTTCTTATTGTATTGCTTTATAAATGACTCTTAAAAATAATTTTTTGTTCGTGATTGTATTTAATGAAATTATTTTATACAATTCAAGTTGTTGAAGCATGTTAAATTTTAATAAAAATGTATTATTGTTCTCCATTAGAAAAAAATAAATAGTTTCAACTATTGTTTTCAAATATCTATCTTTTAAATAATGAGTTAAGAGTAAAAGAAATTTTTTTTTCTGCGTTTTGTGTTAAAATATAATCAAGACTGATGAAAAGTTTGAAAATCCATATTGTAAAATTATTTATTTAGTGTAAACATTTGGTATAATCATTAAAATAACAAAATGGTAATAGTAAATATGGTTATGGTAAAAAATGGTAATAGCAAAAATAAATTTAAAAAATATTCAGGATTTTGTATTTTTCAAGTGAGGATGTCCCAGTTTTACAGAAAAGTATTGACTATATTTGAAAGTACAGACAAACATTTGTGGTAAGGGATCAAGGTTTTAAAATATGTAATAGTACAGTTTTTATCATTATTTATATTTTATATATATTTTTTATATTTTATTTCTATTTGTAGTATTTGATCATGGTTATGAACAAAGCATTGGAGTTCCTACATGATACAATTAAATTGTTATTATAGTTCGTTCACCAGGAGTTGGCACTTGACTCCACCTCGTCGGACGAAGAGTTCATTTCAGCGCAGGAGGTGAGATGTGAAATGTCTCCACGCTTGAAATTGAGACAACCCTTAATGCGCGCCAAATAGTCAATTCTTGTTCAGTCACTTACTTTGCTTTATCATTTGCCATTATACCTTTTGTTACTCTAACTAATTTATTGAAATATATTGCAGCAAAATGTCTCAAAAAAGACAAACTATTCACTCAAAAGAAAGAAATGTCATCAAATTTATGAAATAGTTAATGTTAAAAAAATGCACATAAAGATTGTGAAATAAATATTTTTGTCACACGATCACCAGATAGCAACCTTGTTTAGCCTTGTTCAAATCCTTCTCTCAAAAATAGCGAAATAGTATCGTTGGATACCACGTGATGAAGGCGGAGCCAACTCCTGGTGAATGAACTATAGTACTTGTTTGATATAAGTGAAAAAGAAAGTTATGCCACACCTTGTTCTAAAGCATTTTTTATTTCTTATTGTACTCAAATTTCTTTATTAAGTACTCTTGAAATGTTTTTTTAGTCATGTTTTTTTTAAAAAATCTTTAGGTTAGTGTTTCTGTGAAGAGAATCAATAAATTTTTGAACTGTGAAGAATTAACAAAATATGTCACCTATGATTCTAACCAAAGTATGTACAATAATTATTTTTTTTTATTCATTAATGTATATGAGATTTAAATGTGTTCAATGACAGTTCTTCAGTGACAATTACATGTTTGGATAAGAATTGCTTGAACGATTCCGTATTTTCTTGCTTATTTCATGTATCATATATTTTATTTTATATTTTCATGTATTTTGTGCCCTTTCATTTAGTCATTAATTGATTTTTGGAATATTGATTGGTTTATCAATTAAAATAAATGAATTTAACTGTAATTATAATTATAATTTTGAGTTGTGGTGTGACTACCACTATAAATATTGAATACCAATTCACTAGTATATAAGACATGTTAACTTAATTCTATCACAAAGTACCTTTTGATAGATGAAGGTTGGCATAGTCTAAAAATAAAGTCCCTACAAAGTCTTACTATATAAGTTCAAAATGCAGCGAAAACAAGGGTAAAATTACAGAACAATGAAAAAAGGGAGAAAAAAAAGGAAAAATAATAAAAATAGCAAAAAACCGGAAAAAAGGACAAATTTTTTTTAAAAAATCCGGAAAATAAAAGATATAATCTTTTCATCAGCTCACATGATCATATCCAAAGTGCTTTCCAATATCGCTTCAATAAAGCCAAAGCAAAATATATTAATACAATAGTGTGAGAAGCACTCAAAAAAATTGCTACAAATGAAATAAGTAAAAACACAATAAGTGAAAATATCACGTAAAATAAAATATAAAGAAAGAACAGAATAAAACATGAAGTGAAATCTATAAGGCGAGTAGCAAATTCAAATGAACTTACATGAACAGGAAATTTGTTTCAAGAATGATTTAAAATATTTTCGTAACAAGGTTGCCAGATTGCAAAAATTGAAAACAAAAGTGTAAATTGAGCTAAAAGCATAACTAGCAGAGTTTTGTATTAAAGTGCGTTCTTGCTGCATGACTGAAGTGCGTTTGATTTGTTAGTTACCAAGGATGGGCCCGAAAATAGATGTGCGCAAGGTAATATTATACTAGATGATTTAAAGAAATTGACAATAAATAATTTTAGAAAATAAATATTTATTTGAGAAAAAAAAATATATAAAAGAGAAAGAAGCACGAATTGCCTGTTTTCCACATAATTTTAGCCACAGATTTACACATGGAAAAATTATATAAATTAACAAAGAAATTTTTTTACGTAAATAATTTCAGCCACGGATTTGCCCGAAGAGGATTTGCACATGGAAAAATTATGTAAATTAACAAAGAAATTTTTTAGCAAATTATTTTAGCCGTGGATTTGCCCGAAATAGATTTGCACATGGAAAAATTATATTAATTATCAAAAAAAAATATTTTATTAAATAATTTTAGCCACGGATTTGCACACGAAAAAAATTATATAAGTTAACAAAGAAAATTTTTAGTAAATATATCTACAATAATATACGATTAACTCAATGATTTTATATAGAATTTTATTACTTTAATTGGGTATCCATTGTTCTTTATCAAATTTTGATAGTTGTTGTTGTTATTAATTTACGTCGCACTAGAGCTGCACAATGGGCTATTGGCGACGGTCTGGGAAACATCCCGGAGGAGGATCCGAAGACATGCCATCACAATTTTGATCCTCTGCGGAGGGGATGGCACCCCCGCTTCGGTAGCCCGACGACCTGCGCGCGAAGTCGAGCACTTTACGG